GAGGGATGGGTATTGAGTGCAGTGGGTAGTGGGAGTCCACACGGCTGGACTGTGAGGAGTGGAATACTGCAGATAGAGTGTGGAGCCAGGAGGTTGATAACAGTATGTTGGTGGTGTGGGGGGGTACATGGAAAAGAGTTTGGCGACAGCGGCTGCAGGGGAGGGCACGCACGGAGCTGCTCGGTTTGAAAAGCTAGTATCGCCTGGAGCATGTCCACTTGGTGCTCCATAATGTTGAAGAGCCACTCCGTGGCTTCTTTCTGGTGTGCCGCATTCTCCTTTCGGTCCCTCTTCTCGCTGTCCCACCACTCCTTCAATTCCTGTTTCTTGGCAGCAGAGTACATCATAACCTCATGGAGAAAGTCCTCCTTAGTTCTTCTTGGCCACTTTCTAATTCTGCGCAGCCTTTCTGCCGCTGATAACCTTGGAAGCCCAGCCTCCCTCTTTGTTATCTCTGTGAAGTTTAAATGCAACATTTTACAGAAGCAGTATTGTTTGCAACACAGACAACACTGATTCAGTGCTTTAAAACGCAGCCAGTACTCTCACACCAGTCACTAGCTGTCTGACCCCAGGCAAGTACACACAAGCCACAAGACCCCCAAAATGGGGAGTAGCCCCAGGGGCAGGGTAAATCACTCTTCCTGGACCCTGCTGTACACTGGGCATGTGGCTTTTGGGTAGAGCCAGCACTGTTGGTGGGGCCTGATAATCGTTCCTGTCCCCACACTTTGCACAGGAGGTGATTATGGAAGATATCTCGCTGCTGAGGGTGAGCAGGGAATCAAGTGAGGGTCTTCTCCAAGCCTGCGGCTTCTGCCCTGGCCCCTATGTGGCTTGCCTGTGTGCAGCAATGCCACCCTCCCCACCCCCCAGTGATCGCAAAGTAGCACGGGAAGGTTACGTTAATGGGGCAAGAAACAAAGCAGCTCTGCCGAGGAACCTGCGGCAGTGGATTGACCAGTATCTCCATGAGCGTTTCCTGGAGAACTCTGAGGGAGATTCCCGTGAAGTGAGGGAGTGTATCAATAGCCTGTTCTGTCGCTCAGACTAGGCATGTGGTGGGAGACAAGCCTGCTTTCTCCAACCCTCCTGCCCCCAACAACTCGCTTCAGCAATTTCCCCAAATCAGATCCACTTACCAGGGGCCTCCTCTCCTGTTTACGCTTTGCCAAGATCCGATAGCTGTGACTGGCTAGGCTCCTCCGGGGTAGAAAAGAGCTCCTGACTGCATGCATCTCTGGCCTCCGAGTCATCCTCTGGGTCCCCCTCACCCTCTTCGTCCAAGATTTCCTCCTCCTGGCTTAGTCCACTCTCAACTGGCACGCGAGCCAACAAAGTACACAGGGGCCTTCCCAGTAGAGGTGGGGTTGCCACTGAGTGTCGCGTCCAGCTCTGTAGAACTGGCAGCTCGTGGGTGCAGCACCAGAGTGGCAGTTTGCCTCCCGCGCCTTGTGGTAGGCGTTCTGCAGCTCCTTCACTTTGATCCGGCACTGCAATGTGTCCCGGTCATGGCCCCTTTCTGTCATGCATCATGAAATCTGTAGGTATCATAATTCCTACGGCTGGAGTGCAGCTGGGACTGCACAGCCTTCTCTCCCCAAATGCTGATGAGGTCCAGCAGCTCGGCATTGCTCCAAGTGGGGGATCGCCTGGTGCGTGGAGCAGGCATGGCCACCTGGAAAGATGCGCTGAGACCACTGCACACATCATCGAGCAAACAGGAAGGGGACTTTCAAATTTGCAAAGGAATTTATGGGGTGGATATGACGGTTGGTCACCTGAGGGCAGGGCAGTAGAGTTCAAACCGATGACCAGAGAGGTGAGAACAGGCATTGTGGGACACCTCCCGGAGGCCAATCACAGCACTGTAATCACCACGGTGTCTACGCTGGCACCGCAGTGCTGTAGCCCTGGCACAGAAAGCTCTATGCCTCTCCTTGGGGTGGTTTTTTATTTTTATTTTTTTAGAGTGCTACAACTGCGCAGTTTCTGCGCACTAAGTGGCTTGGCAGTGTGTACACCTCTGGAGGTACAGTGCAGAAAGCTGCTTTACTGTGCCGAAACTTGCCAGTGTAGATGGGGGGGGGGGGGGGTTAGTTCTCAGCATGCATACATTTGACCTTACTAGTGCTGTTGCACTTCAGACTCTCTTCAGTGAATCCGAAAGCACCGAGGGAATTTTGTGAGGGGAAAATTAACATTTTTGGGAAGTTTAAAAGCACTTCTGTGCAACTTGCCTCTTCCACCCTAGTTTCAGTTAACTTGGTCTTCATTTTTTGCTTTGCAGTTTTCCTATAAAGGAAATTGACAAACTTCATGTTGTGACACAATAAAATCAAGGCAGTTAATTTGTGTTGCAACAATGCTTCTTTTGCATTTAACAATGCGCTCTCTCTCTCGCTCTCTCTGGCATGTGAAATGTTAAGCACAATTGAGCACTCAATTCAGGAAGTCACAAGCTGACTGTTCATTCAGTCTTAACACATATGGAAGGGTGCTTGATTATGACTAAGTGATTCAGGAACACTTGTTTCCACTAAGTCACTGTCACTTGAGGTTGAACTACAAATTAGATTAAGCTTTATCGAATGACACACTCTTTCTAGTTTTACACAGGTTTTTAAGAAAAACTAATTGTATTGAAATATGGTATGTCTACATGACTTCCTAAAGATTTCTGAAGCTGCATTATTTTGAAGTCTATATATATTAAAACAAACAAGCATATATTCATGCTGAACAGTGGAAGTCATAACTTCCTTAAACTTCCATCTTCTCCTTTCTTGGAGAGATCTTATCCTTTTGTTTCCACGCTCCATAGTAACAGTTTATCCCAAGACTATCCAAATTATTCCCTTGAAGTCTTCTATTAAATGCTTGCAATAAATATGAGCAAATGTGTGGGTTTTTTTTTTTAACACTTCAGGTTCTCTGAATGCATTCTGTGAGACCTGCCACTGCTCTCTAGTCCACTTAAGTTCAAATCACAATAACATTTGTACCATTCCTGCCCAAAACAACTGTTAGGCTTTGAAACAGCACCACAGAGTGTAGTTCATGGAGTCTCCCTGGCTCTGTACAGTCCCTTTCTTGAAAGTCTCTGGAATGGTCACCGGTATTCCCCTGCTTTTCTCTTCTTGGCTTCCAGTTGTGGTGTAGTCTGGAGTGGTGTGCATTTGGGGGGAGAGTCCTGAAATTTGGTCTCTGTAATCATAATTGTTCGTTCTTTACTGATGAAAGTGTTTTCCTAATACTTATTAAACTTGTATGATGTGGTAATGTCTAGAGTTCAGCTGGGTTTGGGCCCCATTATTCTAGGCACTGTACAGACATAGAAAACAGTCTATGCCCCAAAGAGTTTGCAGTAGTCTGAAAGCTTAAGCTTATCTCCTTGTCACGGGGCTGTCTGTCTTAAGGCCTGCCAGCACAGTTTAAGAAGACTAGCCAACTTGAGTTTAGGAGGAAAAGGGAAGAAAACTTTAGAAAGAACACTCCTCAGTGGCTGCATGTAGCACTCCATCAGACTAATTTTCTCTCTCTAGCTATCTACCATGTAAAAAATACATTTTTCTTGAAAAGATTATTCAACTTCCTTACTGAAGTCTTCAGTTTCAACATCTATTTTGGATAAATCTCTTCTAGGATTTCCAGAGTGAGGAAGGATATTCTGGCAAGAGGCATTTCTGGATCTCGGCTCACTCGTGTCTATACCATTTTTCCTGCATTGTCTATGTAACCTTCTAAAATTGCATAGAGGGAGGTTATTCTTTTTGGGAAAAATAGGACATATAATACTCCTAAATCTGACTATATAGAAGTTGCTCTCTTACTAGCTTTTAGAATTACTAACAGCTTGGCAAATGCTCCAAGGCTATCAGGCTGACACTGGATATAGTATGGAGTTGAATGCCAGGCTTTTGATGTGACCTCTCATGTAAGAATATCCTACACTTTCAAGTGTTAAGTGATCAACTACTGTAAGATGCCATTTTAACACATACACACGAGGGCAGAATGGAAGCTGCTGTAACACTTAAACTTTCTTTACTCTTATGTAGCAAAAACTGTAACCTCAGTTATCTTGCAGTATAGCATTTGTTTCTCTGTTAAGTTCACTTCCAAACCATAAATTGTAATTGGCTGATAATTAGTCATTCTCTTAATTGGATGAAGAGTCCTGTTTTAATGAACAACTTCTTTTTTTTTTTTTTTTTTTTTTTTAAAAAGGTGGCCCTCCTGAACAAGAGAGAGTAATGTCAGGAGACAGAGGTTATAAAGCTGCCTTTGTGCCAGCCCAGCCAATGTTTGTCCACAGTCTCAATTAGAAAATCTGCATTTTTTTAATTAGCTATAGAGTATACAGTATAGAGTAACAGTTTCCTGCCTTGTGACATTGCAGGCTAGAGAGGGATAACTTTTTAACAAATGCAAAATATGCTGATCAAAATATTGCCCAAAACTTCCTTGCCAGGGATCAGGCAGAGAGGTAGTGGAAGAAAAGACAAGCTGAAAAGCACGAAGACCCATGAGATGTGGGTATGCTGACCAGTATCTATGATAGATTTCTATTTCAGCAGCACCTAGGGTACATTGTACAGTGTGCAAACTACTGTATAAAAACATTGGCAAAGGGATTGTGTGCTCTTTGTAAGACGATCCATAGACCAGGCAGAGAAAGGGAGGGAGAAGGAAAAGATTGCCATCGCATTGTATAGCTGAGGCACTGAAGCATGTTTTCCCCAAGATCATACGGGAAATTTGTGGTAGTCAGGAATTGAATCCAGATCTTTTAATGAAGGCACTGGCAGACCATCTTTCTGCCTCCCATTACCTTGACAAAATCCCAGACAAAAGTCTCTTCTGAAGAGGGGTGTCCTGACCAGTTCCATGACCCTCAGTCTCTGATTGAATTTAGTTTGTTCCGGTTTCTCTGCTTGTTCTTAATACCAGCTATTGCTTTTGTCACTTTTAAAACTATTGTTATATATTTTTCCTAGGTTGATCCCAAAGACTACACGTTTTCTGGACTTAAGGATGAAACTGTGGGTCGTTTACCTGGAAAAGTTGCAGGGCAACAATTTGTCATTCAGGACTGTGAGAACTGTAATATCTACATTTTTGACCATTCTGCTACAATCACTATTGATGATTGTACAAGCTGCCGAATCTTTCTAGGACCCGTAAAAGGCAGTGTGTTTTTCCGTGACTGCAAAGATTGTAAATGCGTAGTGGCGTGCCAACAATTTCGCACCCGGGACTGCAGAAAGTTGGAAGTATTCTTGTGCTGTGCCACCCAACCCATTATTGAGTCATCCACAGGTATGAAATTTGGCTGTTTCCAGTACTACTATCCAGAGCTGGCTTTACAATTCAAAGATGCTGGACTGAGTATCTTCAATAACACATGGAGCAACATCCATGACTTTACACCAGTGTCAGGAGAAAACAATTGGAGTCTTCTACCTGAAGATGCCATAGTTCAGGATTATGTCCCCTTTCCTACATCTGAGGAACTAAAAGTAATCAGAATTTCTACAGATACCATGAAGAGCATAATTCCAATAACCCGGGGTGGGAGGCAGAAGAGCAGTGAAGAATCATGTCTAGCAGTTTTCTTCGCTGGAGACTACACAACTGCAAATGCTAGAAAGTTAATTGATGAGGTAAGACACCTTTTTCTATTTCCAGCTTCTTGACTTTCCAATTTCATATCTTTTTGGAATAAATTGCAAATTCTCATAGCTTATTGAAGTGAAGATACTGAAGTTCAAACTGGCTTGCTTCTGGATGTCTACTAAAACACTTTTCAGTATCTAGTTTTGGTGTGTTGAAAAAATGTGAAACGATGACCCCAAACTTGTTTTTCATGATGCATTTTTTTGCATTGATTTGGGTATTTATAATGTACCCATAACTGCCATCTGAACATGAGCTGCGATTGTTCAATCTTATTCTGATACCTATCGAACTTGAGGGATATATGGGAGCACCAAAAGTTACTTTTAAAGTGCCATTTTACGTGCACAAGTAATTTATTTGTACTTGGGTAAGAGTCCAATTGGAAGCTTTCTTGAAAGTGTGGATACAATATCTTTACATAGCTTCTCTCTACAGAGAAGTTTTTTCCTTTTTAGAACTAAAACCATAAACTTGTGGATGGCTTTTTAAAAAAAAAAAAAAAAAAAAAAAAAAAAAATCTTGACTAGTAGATAAAAGCCAAATGCTGTAGTTGTGGGTTAGAGAGGAGCCTGATCCGGGTTTGGTGTCCGTTGCAGCTAAAGAAAAGCTAATGGTGTTAAACACCTTTGCAAGTCAGGCAGTTAGCTTCAGTAGCATTTGTAGATGCTCAGCACATGTAGTTTCAAATTAAAAAATGTACAAGAGAAAACTTTAGTTTCAGGTAGGGGAATAGAACAGAAGCAAAGATTGGATGTTTTCTTTTCATTCCATTCAATCTTCAGGTGTGGTGAAGAAAGTGCTTCCCTTTGTAAACTAGGGAAGAAGAGAATAAATTGAGGTGCTTTAATAGTCAGAGGGGAAAATTGTGTATTCTATTCCCATGTAATTTATTTGGACTTCTGCTTTCAGAAAAGCCAAACATCTGTCCTCACTATATATCAATGATATTAACAGCTGTTTTTAACATGGGTACCCTTGTTTATTAACAGATGACTGGCAAAGGCTTTTTGTTGGTTCAGACTAAGGAAGTTTCAATGAAAGCAGAGGATGCTCAAAGAGTGTTCCAGCAGAGTGCATCTGACTTCATCCCTTTGCTTGAAAAAGGTAAGGCTTCTTAAAATATCACTTAAAAGGTCTCTTTTTGGTTTTGTTCCTCCCCTCCCTCCCTTCTGACACTTAAAACTCAGTTTCTAGTCCATCTTAGTTAGTGTATTCCCTCTGGCTGTAGATAATACTTCAAAAGAAGGGAAGTAGCTTGAGCCGCAGGAGCAGTACAATCTATAGCTCACTGAAATCAATGGGAGGTCTTTCTATTTTCTTCAGTAGGCTTTGGATCAGGCCCGAATGAAGTGGTGAATTCCTTCCTGATCCCTCCAGGCAATGCTCCAAAGGGGATCTAACCCAGTGTGGTTTCCTTCTAGTGACAGGACCACATGGGTCTAAGGCTATGGCAACCTAAATATCTAACAGACCTTGTTCTCTTATCTTAGGAAATAAATTCATGCTTTTAGATCCAGATCTTGCATGTTCAGTCCCTGCTGCTGGCAAACCACAAAGCTGTTGTATTAAATCTGTAATTCAAAAAGAAAAAAGCTAGAGCTTGGCATGGCAGACCAAAATAGAATCCCAGTTTGTCATTAGCCATGATTCGCTGCCGTTAAAGGATTTAAAACAGAAGCGAATGCTGTTGAAGACCACTAGCTTCAAAGTTAGTGTTTATATTTGTAAGTGGTGAAGTAGTCCCATTGTATACATTCTTTGGAGAAATCAAATGCAGCCATAGTGAGCAGTTAAGCATAGACTTTAGTCTTCCTAAAGCTTAGCATACAAACTGCTTTATGTTGTTTTCTGCAAACATAGAATAGCAAAAGCTAAATAGCAAATTTCTGAAGGACTAGGTCCCAATCCTAATGAACTTTGAGCCATCTCACAGCTGTCCATCAGTCAGCATGAATAAGAGTCTCAGTACTATAAGACTTTCCTTCATTTTCTGGTCCGTTTATGACCAACTGCTTTTCGAGAAATTCAACTGGAAATCTGCATTGTTCAGTTGTTCCTACAGTAGCTGTTTTTCCAATATGGAATTGCAGATGTTTTCCTTTGTACACATCTTTTTTTCAGACAACTTTTGTATTTTCACAGCTCCATTACTAACCCTTGTCCTGGATGATGATGGTTGCAGTAGGAACTCTGAGGTTTTATGTGAACAAAACTCAGGGCTCTGAAAGGGATAAAGAAAACAGCCAATCTCTAATCTTCCATTTAAGATGGAAATCTAAAAAACATTATTAGAAGTGAAACTCTCTTTGTAGGTCCTGTTGTTGCTTTGGAGTTTAATGGAGATGGTGCCGTAGAAGGATGTCGAAGCATTATAAATGATGTCTTCAGTGGAACCAAGGTGAGCTATGTTTTCTCTTGAGGAAATAATTATGACCAGAACCTGCCTGAAAAATATTTCATTATCTAGAAATCTTATTTTTCATTTGCTAAGGTTTTGTCAGCCAGCAAGACCTGAAAACATCAGTCTTAATTTTTTGAAACTCACATAGAACTTAATTTACTCCAAAGAAAAGTACACTCACCAGTGGGAAGTAGGAAACTTTCCCTGCCAAGTGAAGAGGGGATGCTAAATCATCAATTTCTGAAGAACTTAAGCTTTCTATTTAAAACTTGTGGTTGCAAAAATAACTTACCTAATGTACAGTAAGGCAGGGCTGTGTTCTGGGACTTACAAAGTAGACCATGCTGGAGCAATCTGCTCTTAATTCTTGGCTGAGAAGTAGGATGAGACTGCTGTTTTTTCTGAAGTGTGATCCTAGATACCTTTCAAGGTTCTACTGTATTTGTAAGACAGTCATGGTGATAATCTAAAGATGTACCAAGGTTTTTCCCTAGAACTTAAACATCCTCATAGTTTAGCTTTCTCACACCACATGACCATTTTCCAGATAGCTTCCTCTTCATTTGTTCTAATAATGCTTTCTCTGGGATAGTGTTTGTAGTTTGTCTAAGTTCTTAATACATGAACATTTCAAAGGAGATGCATCATATGATACAGCAAGAAACTGGATAATATCCCAATAACCTTTAATCTGTTCGCTTAGCTTTTTTTATACCTCTTTGGGGCATACATTAAGCTAAGGGTATGTCTACACTGCAAACCTAAGTCAACCTATATTAGGTTGACTTACAACCACTGCAGTAATTACATATGCATGTCCACACTACCCTCCTGGGGTCAGTGTTGCGCATCCTCATGAGGAGTGCTTCCTCTGAACTAAGATGGGCAGTGTGGGGAGCTGAGAGCCTGGTCTCTCAGCTGCTGCCCCACAGGTTCCTGGGCTCCTGGTGGGCTAGCCCCCACCCCCATTCCCCACCAGGAACCAGGGGAAGCCACCTGGGGCTTCCTGTCCCTGGGGAGCAGGGTTTAGCTGCCCTAGCTTCTCGGGCCCCCCTGCCTGGCTCCCAGCCTGGGGGCAGGAGCAGCAGGAGGGAAGCTGCTGGGGCTTCTTGCTCCAGCTGGGAGCAGGGTCCAGCTGCCCAGCTCTCCAGGGAGTTGGGGGAAGCTGGGCTCTAGCTGCCCAGATTTCTTGTCCGTTTCATGGCTCCTGCCCTGAAATTGACAAGACAGCCAAAGTTGGGTGTAAGGGATGCAATGTTTACAAACACTGTGATGCCTCTTGTGGAGGTGGAGTAGTTATATCAGTGGTGTAGGGCACTTACATGAACAGGAGGAAATCTGTAGTGTAGACACTGACAGAATTAGCCCTAAGGTGCCCAAAACTACTCCTTTGTTTTCCTCAAAAGAACAACTCCTTGACTTATTCAATCTGCCCAGTCTTTTGTTAGCAGCCTTTAAGTTGGTTTATTGTGAGAAGATGCCAACTTTTCAAGACCATTTTTCTTTATCCATTGTCATGAGCAATGTTCCTTCTAATTTTTTTTCCATAAGTGTGTGGAATGAATTTTATGTGCACCAATATCAAGGTAATGTGTGGATGTGCGCCACCAGTAGAAACAAAAAACCTGCATATAATTTTTTTTTTTTTAAAGTTACCATAGGGATAATTACTCCAGCCAGGACAGGTTAGGCATTTTAGAACTCACTATTCAAAGAATTTTATTTCTCTCTTATGCTTAAATTTATGAAATGCACTGACCAGTCAAAACACTAAAATAACACTTTAGAAGAATAAAATTACAGAGAATATATGTGCATTGCAGGAAGTACCAAGAAGTAACAATAACACAAGTATGTGTTGGGAGGTGTGCGTGTGGCTGTCTCTTTAAGCACAGTGGCAGTCACCAGAGAGCTCATTCAGACCTCAGCAGCTCCATCCTGCTCTTGAATCCTGCCCCCCCCATCCCCACTCTGCAGAGATGGGGTACATGGGCAGGGGTGGGAAGGGGGATACCCTGACATCAGCGCCCCCCCTCCACTCTGCACAGCAAGCAGGAGGGTCCCGGGAGCAGCTGGGCAGGGGCTCTAAGGCAGATGGCAGGAGCAATGCGACTGCAGAGCAGCAGGGAGGAGGGGCACCTGAACACACATCGCTGGATGCGCGTGGCTCTGCTAATCAAGTGCGCGGGACTGGATTGATTCTTGGGTGACCGCACAACTTAGAGGGAACATAGTTCATGAGATCAACCATAGCATAGCCAGGCTTAAAACCAAACCAACGTAGGTCAATGAGACTGAGAAATCCAGATAGTTCTGATGTAGCCTTGCTACAACTTTATTGACTTTACCCAAAGAGGAAGTTGCCTTATGAATTTCTTAGCATAGAGTTGCTTGAGCAGTGGTCTAAAAATTGCTTCTTTGAGATGCTGGCATGCTTTTCTCTGGAAATGAGGTTGAAGTTGGTTGGCTATTCCCAGTTCCTTATTCTAGGTTACAGTTCCTTATTCAAAGGCTGAAGCGGTTTCAGTTATTATCAAATTGAATTACTTCTGAAAATGATATGGAATGGCATGTCATGTTGGGTGTGGCCATGGACAGAGTATTAAAGTCCCCTTCCCCAACACTGTGTATTGTTCAAATTCTGATTACGTAGCTAATTTAACATGTACAAATGAGACAACCTCTGGACTACCTTCAAGTAGCATGTCTGTGCCATCAATTCGAGTCCTAAATTGGAAATGACACCCTGCTTTCTCACTTAAAGCTGATTTCTACACACAGCACTCTTCCCTGGAAAACTTCATGCTCTCATCCATGTGAAAATGCTTGTTGCATTGAATAAGTAACTGGAACATTGGGTTATCTGAGAAATATTTTTGTTTGCACGTAGTCCAAAGACCATTTACATAATAAAACAAGCATTTGCGTAATGAAGGATTTTTTCCATAATTTAACTTTTAAAATGCATATTATGAAATATATTTCATGTCCCTTTTAGTAGGAAACACAACTTTTTAATTATGGAAATAACCAACTTCAGACTTGCTTCTGCAAGGAGGTATTCTCCGCTTCAGAAATGGTTCTAGCACCACACTGCTGGCCTTCACCAACCAGCTGGGGCATGGATCAGTTTACATCTCTTGCTCAGGGGTATGCAGAATGTGCCACTGACTGAAACTCTATCAGGAAAAACTCACCACCTCCATACACTTATCTAATACCATGGAGAGCACGCTTGGATTCTAAACAGGTTATTTTATCTGCTAGATTTGAAGAGTGCTGTTAGAAATACTTAATTTGGACACTGGGTGTAAACAACTGTTAACTAGATTCTTCACCTGAAACAATTTTGGTCACCACTCTGGATGTTTGTAGGGGTAAAGAAGTCATTCATTAGTTGCACAGCCACAGTTCACGCTTACAAAAACTTCTGGTAAGTGGTCTGACTTTAGACTGAAATTTCTGCCATAGGTGTATTATTCACATTGGAAGAAGTTAACTTTTAAGGTATTGGACTTCACTCAGTTCAGTTACTGGCTGTACCATAGGCTTCCTTTGTGACGTTGGACAGTCACTTAATCTCTCTGTCGAAGATTGCCATTTTACAGATGGGGGTTATACTGCTCCCCAGTTCTTTGTCTTGATACAAAGCTTTTGCAGTCTGTCTGAAAACCATGATGTCCTGTGAGGACAAGTGTGGGAGGAAAACGGTCTTAAAGAGCCATTGTATTCATGGCCAAAAATGGATCATGATATCCAACCAAAGCATTAATAGATCTATTAGCTATTATTCCTTATTGGGTGTCAGAGGGCTCCATGTTAACTGGACTCTGAAAGTGGGTCATCAAAACAGGCCTTTTGCACTGACAGGAGAGGGGTTTATCCTGATATCAAAATGAAGGAGGGTAGTGGTTGGCCCAATACAAGAACACAAACCCTTCTCTCCAATCTCATCTCAAAACTAAGATTGAGAGCTGGAGTTGAGCTTGATGTTAGCTGGGACAGTGTTATGTTCTGATATGGTGATCCTGAGATGTTTGAGCTTGCATGATCACCAAGAATTATCAGTCTCTAACTTTGATACCTTGGATAACTCAGTTAACTGAAGTACTCAGTCACTGTACATTGTCATTTAGTCACATCTTAACTTCCTCCTAGGATGCATAAAATAGACTCTCTAAAATCCAGCTTTGGGTTGGAAGACAAACTTGCTTTTTAAGGCTAGATATAAACTGCCAAACCATTTCCCTGATAACTTACATTGCATTGTTTTAGATATATCTTGGCTGCCTGATGGATGCAGGCAGGCCTAGTTAATTTACTAAAATCAATATTTTTTTCCCCAACTATTTTCAAGGACACAATTGGAGTTTTTTGTAAAATTTTAAATATTAAACAATTTGGATGTTGGCAAAAAGTGGAAGCCACTTTTGCTGAGGAAGTACTTCTGAAATTTTGAAAATATACCCGAGGAGGTATATCTGGGAGAAGAGGAGAGAAATGCCTTTCTCAGTTTTGTGTGGCTTGGGAGGGAGGGGAAAGTGGTGGAGTACTTGCTCTGCTTCCTTAAGTGAGTTTGATGGTACCTAATAGCTTTTCTTCCCCCTACAGGATGATGGTTGAAGTGACTTTTAAATAGTCTAGTCTAAAATTTTAAAACTGTGTTTTAGGATGGACTGCTTAAACAGGAGCTATTTTCTAAAAGGGAAAGATCGTTTTGCTTGACAAACGAAGTCTCGAATTTCTTTGCTCCATATACTGAGTCCTGAAACTATTTTAATTTCCTTTCAAAAATGAATTCTGCCTGTTATATGAATAAATCTCTAGAAATACAAACATTTCTGTAATGTAAGGCTCTTGAATGAGCAGAGATGACTTGCATTTGTATATATCAGTGACAAGTAACTACTTCCTTGTTTAAAATGTATAGGTTTTTGCATCGGAGAACAAAGCTTCTGCCTCTCAAGATGTAGACAGCTTCTACAACTTTGCTGACATGCAGATGGGAATGTGAAATGTGACTTGAAGATGTTCTTCTGCATGGCCTGTCTCACCACTTGGATATAGCTTTGGTTTGACTGTGTAATGCTGCATTAGTAGCAAAAGTGTTTTGTTTTTTGTTTTTTTTCTGATTGACCTTTGTATTGCATATGTTTTTTATAAAAGGAATTGGTAAATTTAATACTGTATCACGTGAATTACAACGAACAATGTAGTTTCACATGTACATGTGATACTTATGTACCACTTAAACAACACACACTTTCTAGTAATTTATGATTATAGTGAAACTTTAATTATATTCTGATGTGAACATTCCTCAAATCTTTTAATTTGTAGGATTTTTAGAAAGTAGGTACAATGCTAGACCACATTTTATGTATTTTTAAAAAAGTCATTTCTTAACTGAAACACATTGCTGCCGGTATGTGTCAATGGTACGTTAGAGAAGGTAACTTGTAGAATTCACAGTACTTTCCCATATGCAAAATTATCTTAATCAGGAAAAATGTCATTGCTAACTGATCTAAAGTTTCTTAAATTGTTTTCTTTTAAATAGCATGCTTTCACAGTTGACTTTACTCTGCTTCAGTCTTTGTATTCATAAAAAAATTCATTGCACCAAGTGTTCTATACCAGATAGTCTTAAATGTTACTGTACTATACTAACATTAATTTTAATTACATTAAAAATAGTGTAAAGAGCCTGGGAGCTATGCTGCAGACACTTTGTGCCCTCTCCTCCCAGCCCCCCATTTAGGAGTGTCTCCAGTGGTATAGTGGCTCCTGTCTCATCCCTCTTTTGGGCTAGTGTAGAAGATAAACCTGAGGCTTCCTTACAACCCAGCTGCCATAATGGGTCTTTGACAACTGCCATTGTTTAGACCACACCACAGCCTAGAATCGGGGAGATAGTTTTAAAGCAGTGTTTGGATGCATGCACCTCCACTGAGTGTGCTCCTCCATCATGATGAAGGATATGGACACACAGTCTCTAGTGGCTGCAGATAATTGACTGACTGTAAAACTAACATTAGTCAGTTACTTCTAGAAACAGACCGAGAAAGCATTAATTTGAGACTAAAGGAATGTAACTTTTTTTACTATAGCTGTCTGACTTGTAGTTTTTTTAATAGATGAGCTATATAGTGTTCCTGGTGGCATTTACTAGATACATCATTTGAGCATAAGAACGTTCACTACAACGTAATGAATCTTAATGCATACACATGAGAATATTGGATCCTCAACATTCAGATTGAGCTTCTGCAAGGTTTTACAAGAGTTCAGATTAGGGTTCCATAGGCCCTCTGTTCAGACAGCAGAAACTTAGCTTCATTGTCACAAATTTACTGGACTTATCAACTGACTGCTCTCCTATCATATGAGGTGCAAACCCACAACTATTCAGATTCGATGTGACTTGCTGGTATAAACATAAGCTTCCCAGTACCATTTAATGTAAAATGCTATGTTATGATTTTCCTTTTTAAAAAAAAAAAAAAAAAAAAACACACAAAACTCATTGACTTTATATAGTCTGGTAGTTTATCCTCCAGCCATCTTGCAAATAGAGCAGGAAATGACTGTCTTGATAGTCTGTCAATGCTGTGGCTTCAGAATGCCAAAGGAGGCTGGTTGAAATACTTTGGGATTGGTAAAGGAAAGAAAGAGGTATGTCTGTCTGCATTACTCCCAGCCTTTGCAAGGTCCATAATGTAAATAAGAGTATATGTAGGTTCTGAAGTCTGCCATTTTGCTGTCACTAGATAAATGCATACTCTTAACTCCACTTCTTTTTAATAGAAGGAAGGTACACAAATTGAAAGGAAACTTTTCCTTCTATCTCTAGAGAAGGAGCATCTCTTGAGCTGACTAATTTGCAAACTGTGCTGATGCTCAGAAAAATCTGCCATGGACATGGTAGGGTTCTGTTTTGATTTGACAGGTCAAAACAAAATTATTCTGCCATTAAGTACTAATTGGTGGTAGAAATTAGTACGTTTTTCTGTTTGGAAGTGGTCATTCAAATTATCATTCCAGTATACTGCATCTGCCATGCTGAGACTTAGGTGGAGGGTAAAATGTGTTTCAGTAAATGGAGTGGAAATGATACTGACCACACAACAGATCTTTCTGTCCTGATGTATGTTTCTATCCTGACACTCACTATGCTTTAGAATCCTGCATGCGATATATTTCAAACCTGTCTTCATGTAATAAACTGTCTAAATATAATTGGTCATCCTATTACTAAACCCTTTTGTGATCAGTAAATTAAGCCATGTGCTATATGTAAATGAGGATTTAGTTCTTCTCTTCCCCCCCCACCCCCCCTTACCCGTAACAATTTCTGCTTGTTAATCAGGGTGAAGTTCTGTTTTTAATTGTCTGTACAAGAATGAGTAACTAGTTCTGCATTAACTTTCATATGACAAACAGATTTAGGTTTGAAATATTGGGGAAATTTCCCCCAACTTAAGGAAAATGCTGTTTTTACAAGTGGTGGGTAACTAAACCGTCAAATGCAATTAAAGGGTTTTTCTTTTTATAGCACTCTTGTTTCTCTTGTAATATTTAAATACCTAATGAAATTATAACTGCTTGATAACGGCATATTTCTGAATCTTTGAACTTTATTTAATAAACCTTACTGCTAACAAATATTAGGAACACTTCTATTCCTAATGAAGTAAGCTCACCTCAATTGTTATATGTATAGTGTAACAGTATGTGCTTCATGCAGCTTTTTGTATATTTTGGTAGTTTTTGTATGTAATTTGTCTAGTAGTTGTGAAATGTGACTTGCAATAAACATTTTCAAAATAAACAGTTCATTTCATAAGAATTTAAAATACTCTATGCAGTAGTATAGCTAAAACTGTATTTTAAAAATGTTAACTGATATATGGTAGTTAAAGGGGAGGAATTTTAAACTGTCAAATTACTTACTACTTAGTGGAGAAAGCACTGAACTGGTTTTTGTAGTCATCAGCTCATCTCAAAAGATGAGGTTTTTTGTTTTTGTTTAGCCAACCATTTATCTAGTAAATATAGAAATGAGTTGCTACTGAGGAACAGTAGCTAGGCTGGGGAAAGAACATGAGAATGGTCTGACCCAGTATGGCCAATGATCCATCTAGCCCAGTATCCTGTCTTCCAACACTGGCCAATGCCAAGTGCTTAAGAAGGAATGAACAGAACAGGCAATTATCGAGTGATCCATCCCCTGTTGCCGATTCCCAGCTTCTGGCAAAAAGAGGCTAGGAGACACTTCAGAGCATGGTTTTGCATTCCTGGCTAATAAGTCCATCAATGGCTATCTTCCATGAGTGTATAGAGTGGTTTTTTTTTTTTTTTTTTTTTGGAACCCTTTTATAGTCTTGGCCTTCACAACATCCTCTGGCAAAGAGTTCCACAGGTTGACTGTGCGTTGTGTGAAGAAATACTTCCTTTTTGTTTGTTTTAAACCTGCAGCCTGTTAATTTCATTTGGTGACCCCTAGTTCTTGTGTTATGAGAGAGAGTAAATAACATTTCCTTATTTACTTTTTCCACACCAGTCATGATTTTATAGACCTCTATTATATCCAACTTAGTTGTCTCTTTTCCAAGATCAGAAGTCCCAATCTTATTAATCTCTCCTCCATAGGGAAACTGTTCCATACTCCTAATCATTCCCCCCCCCCCCTTTCTTTGCCTTTTCCAGTTCCAATATATCTCTTTTTGAGATGTGGGTGACCAAATCTGCATGCAGTATTCAAGATGTGGGCATACCTTGAGTTTATATAGAGGCAATATATTTTCTGTCTTCTTATCTATCCCTTTCCTTAATGATTCCTACCATTGTTAGCTTTTTTGACTGCCGCTGCACACTGACCAGACATTTTCAGAGAACTATCCACATTGACTCCAAGATCTGTTTGAGTGGGACATCATTTTATATGTATAGTTGGGATTGTTTTCCAATGTGCATCATTGAATTTCATCTGCCATTTTGTTGCCCAGCCATCCAGTTTTGTGAGATCCCTTTGTAATTTTTTGCAGTCTGTGACTTAACTATCTTGAGTAGTTTTGTATCATTTGCCAATTTTGCCAAATCATCATTTACCCCCTTTTTCCAGATCATTTATGAATAGGTTGAACAGTAATGGTCCCAGTACAGACCCCTGAGGGACACAAGTGTGATATGAGCAAGGGTATAAAAATCTTAAATTGATAAGAAAAGGCAGAGATACAATCATGCCCTTTACAAAAATGGAGAAATCTACCCATGCGTGGGCTAAAACTGTAGAAGTGATGCAAAAGGAACACAGCTTTAGGAATTCAGTTACTAAGCTTTCTGCAGGCTATTTAAATTATATCAGTAATATTTAACAATTGAGCTAGCCTTTTTTACACTTGATTTCTCTTATTGCTAAAGCTGATGGGAGTGTATTTTGGGAGGATTATTGCACTGGTCATGTAATATAATTTCTCCCTTCTCAAAGCATTGGAGGCATGCAAAACTTTCCCAGAAATGTTCTGCCTCTCAGTAGTTGAATGACTACTGTATTCCATTAGATTAGTCATGCCATAATGTTTCTGAAAATAATGTGCAAATAGGAGCTATTTACTGTTTCCTATTCAATTAAACAAAGACCAGGTGCTGGAGTTAATGTGTAGGCCCTGCACAATCAAGCTTGTACCTACTAAAAAAAAAAAAAAAAACCACCCCTGCAAAAACGCAATGTATTATTAAATTGTGTATATTCATCTTTGGACGTGTAAGAAGCAAATTGTTTTCCTGGTGTAAGTATTAATCTGAGTTAATAACTAGTAGTACAAACTGAGAGCTAGTTCTTCTAGTAAACAAATGTTGTGCTTGTTTAATAAATGACTTGAAGGCTAGGAGTAGCTCTTGAAAAGCAGCATCCAAACTCTCCTTATATGTAAACATACATGTAGAGAGAGATTTGTAGGAGATTGTAATTTAGAGATGCTCCCTCAGAAGGGACAGTATTATGAACACAGAAATTTGGAGATGTGCCCTGGAGATAGGGACTGGGAACACCACCTGGCTGTGTTCAGTAGCTCACCAGAAGCTCTCCAGTTTGTTTTTATTAAAGTTTTATTCTTTTCTCATTCAGTGGTTTGTTATTTAATGAACCCCAAGATTGTTACATGGTGTCAGAAGTGCTGAATGAGAAGGAAACTGCCGTCATTTTGAACTCCAGTGTTTGCAACTGAAAGCAGACACAAAGGGAGGCACCAGAGAAGCACATGGAGCACGAGGCTTTTGCATGCGTTTGGCAAGCAATATAGTAGCTTGACTAACTTAAGAAGGGACGAAAAGCCAAAAATAGATGTGTTGCAACATCCATCCATCCAGTCTGCAATTGTCAGACAATGTTGCAGAGAACTGGAAAAATTTCAGACCGAGATTTGAATTGTGTTTAGCAGCCCTAGAGGCAAAGGAGAAAAATGATCAAGTGAAATCTTTTTTTCTATGTTGTTTTGGGAGGAAGCATTGGATATTTATAACAACTTTAAGTTTGAAAAAGGTGAAAGCATGAAGTTAAGTAAAATACTGACTAAATTTGAAGAACATTGCATGCCAAAAAGGAATAAAAGATAAGACATGTTTTTTACATGCGAAAAGAAAGACACC